ATAGATATCTTTATCTTTTACTTAGCAGGTGAACAGCATACCCCATTGGCACTCCTCTTCTTGGCCTTCCAGTCATCTAGCTGAGCCTTGGTCTTGGCATCTACCTTAACCAACAGCTTCTTATCCCCTAAGAGCAACTCGTGCAGAAGTCTGAGGGCTCGCAGTGTGGATTCAGGCTCCTTATACTCACAGAATCCAAAAGCTTCCAGGATTTGAGAGCAGAAAGAAAGTTAGTTCCACAAAAAAACAAAACAAAAACCTGATGATTTTAAATATTTGAAGTGAAAAATATGGAATTGGAAAAACTATTTGATGTATTATTAGTGCCAGACAAAGCCTCATTATATCCACTGTGATTCAGTGGTGTAAAAAGTACAGTGGGGTGCACTTTGTCTGGACTTTAGAAGAAGCTGGATTACGTGTCCTTTTTGTTTTTACCTTGAAGTTTCCCAGAGGCACCTTGGACCCTTTTCCAGCTTAGAACAATACCACATTTCTAAACCAAAAGAGATTTTTTTTTTTACTTTCGCATTACAGACGCTAATGTTTATTTTTAAAATTCTATTATTCACTGATAAGAAAGTTGGCGCAACAGTATTTGTGTATCTATGATAAGCAAGTTCACAGGAATTTGTCAGTGGATACCTGAGACAAACATGAGCACTTCACAAGTTTCCTGCCTTTTACGATTCTGTTCTTGTAATATTTATATCGTGAATTTCATTTGAACATCATCTGGATGCACTCAGTCAACTCACCGCGAGCAGCTGTCTGACCAACATGTCAGACGCCTTTTCAGAGATGTTCCCTACAAACACAGTAGTGGTGGGGCCTCCGCTGTCATCTGTGTCCTTGGCTCTGATGGTGCCAGGATCCTTCTTTGGAGCCATCGGCTTCTGTGCAACAGCAATTGTGGTTGGGACAAGAACCTGCAACAGCAAATTACATTTTTAGGTATTACTCTTATCCAGAACAACCATAGAAGCAACAAAGAAAAATGCAGATATTACAAGAATTAAACTAAAATTGTTCACGTGTAAGGATTATGTATGTAATAGCAGGTCATGCAGAACAGCTGATGCTTCCATTGCAAGCAGTAGGATCTCCTCTTTCTAACTCACTGTGGTTGTGGGGGTCACCACGCCCATATGTACTGGGATCATGGGAGTACCTGAAAATAG